CGACCGACGGATCCGAGAATCGATCGACAATACTCCGTGAATCGATCGACAACTCCGTGAATCGATCGACAACTCCGTGAATCGATCGACAACTTCGTGAATCGATCGACAACTCTGTGAATTGATCAACAACATCACGAATCGATCGAAACATCCGTGGATCGTTCGAAAAACCTGCGAATAGATCGGAAACTCCGTGAATCGACCGAATCACGCGACAATCGATTCGCGTTTTCATTTTTCGATCGATTCGCGAATGTCGATCGAATCCATACCCTCCGTAATTACAGGCTATATCGACGGTGTAAGTCGGCAATCACATAACTCGATTTGCGACGTCGCAGACTTCCTATCATACTTTATTTTTTAAACGGAAAACTACTCAACGGCTACTCTTTAAAACTCCAGTGATTTTTCTTCTGTATGTGAAGAAAATTATGCAAAAACTTCAAGGAATCATGTCAATTTGTTCTCCTCTAAAAAAATAACATACAGGCGGAGATTTTCAGACACCGCAAACGAGTTATGTGATTGCTGACTTACACCGTCGATATATATGTTTGATGATTATAGGGTTCCAAGCTGACAACACGGCGGCTTACATCTATTCCCGAAGCTCCCGGAATACGGCACAGCACCACGTGGAGATCATAAGCACACGGTAGCTCTTATTCCATTAGTTTTATTTTATTGATAGCGCAGCGTGATGAACTAATCGATTTTCTGGATTTGGCAGGGATGTCAGGCGGGGGCGGGGGAGCAGGGGGCACGGGTCGCGCCGCGCCGTCAGAATGTATGTTCGCGGCTTGTTCCCGAGCCCGACTCGTCTCAATCACCACCCACGCATATTTTTCAATGGCTCGCATGGTCGCATACCGCGGTATACGCTCTCGTGTAGCGGCGAACCTGAAAAATTGCCCCGTCAGGAGTTTGTGAATTTTCATATCAAGGAAAAAAAAAGATGAAAAAGTATACCGAAACACGCATATTGTTGAATAAGTTTATTGGCTTGGATGCATTTCGGGCTTAGCCCATCCTCAGCGAGCAGTTAAAACAAAACACAGAAACAAGTTAATTACAGTAATGAATTGTCACAATGCATGATGGAGAGGAATAGCGAGAGGCAAAGCGAACTAAAACACTTGGGAACTGGTCAAAAATGAAAAAATGTTAAAAGATGTTTAAAAAACCGAACCTGCGTTAAGCATAAACGAATAATAATTCGTGCCATGAGATTTCACCCTGAGATATCTACTCGACCGTCCACCGAAAAATAGGAGAGCTTGAAAACTTAAACCTCAGACATTATAGTGCCCCAACTGCAAGGATCGTTAATCAAGCATTCGTCACAAAACACCTTGGTGTTTTTCTTCTTTTTTACTCCAAATCGAGCTATGATAGTTTAGATGCTGCAGCTTGTATCTATACTGGTTTGTATCGATTTGCTGCGTTCCCCCCCCCCCCCCCAAAAAG